CTAGATGAGTCTGTTGGGTTGGCCATGGTTCAACCATGGGAGTTGTTGGACTAGGGGAGTCCGCAAGGCCGGCGGACTAGATGAGTCTGTTGGGTTGGCCATGGTTCAACCATGGGAGTTGTTGGACTAGGGGAGTCCGCAAGGCCGGTGGACTAGATGAGTCTGTAGGGCTGGCGGACTAGAAGAGTCCGAAAGCCTGTGGATTAGAGGATTATGTGGCGCTGGTGGATTAGAGGAGTATTTGAGGTTAGGGTCATTCACCTGTCTGCCCTTCATATACCGGGAAGCTTTTCGCGATGCTGCACTGCATGGCTCTGCAGTATTGTTCATCAGTCGACGTACTATGAAGACTCGAACCACAGTCCATTTATTTTTTTAATTACACACTGGTAAATGAGAATTTAATTAATTTACGTAAGGTGGATTAAAAAAAATAACAAAGATAAGCCAGGCTTCCGATTCATTGAAACTTCTTCGAATTAAAAGTTGATTTCTCAAACAAGGCTTATAATATAGCAACACGCTTGATAACTTTACTCGTTATACTTTCTCCCTGTGAAATAATGAGTCGAAATATGTGTTCTTTCCTGATTTATTACATCCTAGTGTAAGCACAAGTAAAATATGTAGCAACTGATTTTCTCGGACCAACTTTCTAGGTAGTGATGCAATCGCTCGATGCGAGCAAGTCGACAAGTTGAGCAAGTCATTTTGATCCTATAGGGTCAAAGCTGCCTAGTGCTAGTCTAGTGCCTACTTCTCCATCACATTACAGGACGACTGCTTATTTGGATATGACTAAGGCTTTCGAGCACCGACGAATTCGATCGAAGTAGAAGATCGTTGTGCTTTCACATTTGAGTAGAATTTGAACCAGACATTAAACCCCGATTTTTAAGGATTCTGTAGGACAAGGACTATTCTGTGACATGGGAGATGTGCTGTTTCTAGATTTGTGCGGAGGTAACTAAAAAACGGAGAGATTAAAATGTTAGAAATGTGCTTAAAGTTGTGCTTAGTTGTAGAACGCTTGTAATCGAACATAAGTCTGTTCATCCGTTCCGTAAAAAAAAAGAGTTGAGTCGCCTTGTTAGGCTGCACAAAGCATCCTACTTCTATAATAAACTCAGGACGTCTTTGCAATCGCTCATCCCGTATGCAGATTTTTAGCTCCTTGAATATTCTCTAAACCTTAATGCTGAATTCACTCGAAAGCTTGGTTTATATGACCCGGCCATAAATTTGTCCGAGACGTGTTGATATGTGTCATAATGAGAGTGAAAAATATTTCTTAATAGCAACAGTCATGAGGAATTTATGAAGCCGGTAAAAGTTTGCACAGCTTACTTCAGAACCTGCTTTCACCAATGTAAATAATTATTTTCGGACTTGTAGAAGTTTGTAAATGTGAACGTTTTTAAATTCTGTTAGTAATAGCGTTCTAACGTTCTTGTGCTTAGTTGATTTTTAATTTGACATAACATGTAGGAGCCCTCCTCTTATTTTTACAAAATTGAGCGGTATACGTACTTCAGTGACGAGTTGCTCAAGGTTTATCGCCTGCTGTTTTGCGTCCGGCAGTGCAGATGAACAGTGGCAGTCCAGGCCCTTTACTGAGTGGTTGTGTGTCAGAGCGCTGTCTGGCTCCATCATTCCAAGCATCTCGGTTTCAGTGAACAATAGCATATTCATATTTGAAGTAAAAAAGCCACAAAATATAACTTCAAAATTTTGTTGGAAAAACTTAATCTATACCTTTTAAATATTTTAACTGCATTTTTAATATCGACCGAGTAAATGATAAAACCTGGGCGTTATACTCAGGGACTGGATCGCGGCTAGGTATTTACGGTTTATGCTGTACTGTGTCCATGGCTATTCGGTCCAGCCGCTGTGATTGTCGTATCAAGGATATTAAATTTCGATTCTCGCATCGTGTAATATCATTAGAAATTATTATCCGTTTTTTGTAATTGCAATTTTGCAATGCCTGCTGTCAAATTTCGTCATATTGCTTGATTTTGCATGAAGTCTCACGGACTTGGCTCCATCATGATAAATGGTTGTGTTTCAATAATCTTACACAGTTTGGCTGGGGATGTTAGTAGGCATCATCCAATCCATATGTGGCTGTTCAAAGTTACTAACATGTAGGTACTCCTCAAAGTTTATGAGTTGAAGCTTAAATGGTTTACGTAGACGGTAGATACGGTTAGCTACTCAAATCTACAAGATGGTTGGTGATGGGTAATTTTACGCAAATATATTATTAAATATTCATTTAGATGTGCATATTTTTATGTATAAGATGAGCAGGTTTAACATCAAAGCGTGGTTGTTTTAGTGTACATTCATGATTTTTGTGTTCATGTTCAACATCACTTTTGAGTTAGGACCATAGAGTGCACAACGCTAACTTCCATTCAGCCGCACCTCCGGTTAGAGCGCGTGTCGTGATAGTGCACGTAGCTTACTATTAATTGATATAGATATAGTAGCCTACCTACCGTGCCAGTAATTAATAGTGCACATACCGTGCCAGTGACTGATAGTGCTTGTACCGTGCCAGTAATAGTGCGCGTTCCGTGCCAGTAATAGTGCGCGTACCGTACAATTATCGATAGTGTGCCTACCGTACCATCAATTGATGGCCGTACCGATAATTTGGCCAAAGAAAGATAAAGATCACACAAACTATTCTAAATGACGCTTGCGTCGATGCATTCCTTTTCGCACGATGTTTTCGTATCGAGGCTGATTCTTTACCACTTTGACTTTCTAATTCAATTTTTTTACCACATTCCAACGTTACTTGTTAATGCATTGAAAAACAACTAAATGCATTAAGTGGTAGTGAAAAAGTAGAAGTTGAAGCCTTGCGAGTTGAATACAGTGGAGACTTGGCATTCGTTGACTGGACACGTCGAAATCCTTGAGCAATTACGAAGTCTTTAAAAATTGGTAAAGTTATTATAGGCAGTCAGGCTATTAAAGAATGGCCAATTGCAGACCGGGAACCTGACATCGCCAACGCTCAATCAACTCAAGACTTTTAGGAAAACCATTCCAGTTGAAAAAAATTTCTCGGGACTTTCAAATTCTTCTCAAATGCTGAAATAAAATGCTATTATAGCTTCGAGCAAATAATTTACACTTCTACCCGAAATAGATATGAAGTTTTTTTTATCTCCCATTTTATAAATCGTAGCATGAACGTTAGATCATTCGAGATCTAAATTAACACTTGCCTACTCTTGATGTGATATCATGTACGGTAGCCTGTTGAAAATTTATGCATTCACATTTTTATATTTTCTTCATTTTATTTTTAGTTCATTGAGAGAGAACTATATGATAATTTGTTACATTCATGTTGTCAGGCAAAAACATTTGTCAGGTAAAATCTTATGTGGTGCGTCCTATTCGGGCCGACTCTTGCTAGCCTCCACTAACTAAATATTAATGTAAATAATGGACCACCTATATATAGTTACTCGTTAAATAACGCTATTCTGCTTAATTTAATAGTCGTTGATATAAGTTGTTCTGTAATTTAAATTTATACGTTGTTTAAATATATATGTAGATTGATAATCACTGACGTAAATGGGAACACAAATTTTTATCTATTTCAATTCTGCACTTTAGCCTAATTCTTAGAGAATTGTGTGAACCTAATTAAAAATTTTCGCCCGTTTTTCTCGCTTGAACTTCAAGGTGTTAGGTTTCGGTATTATGCGGCAATGATCAACTCTTCTCCTGTCTCTTACACAAGTTATTTTGTCTCTCTGGTTAGGCGCAGCTGTTAAAAGTAGATTCGTAGACCAACTCTTTGATAGTTCGGGAGACGTCAGTTTCATGTGTTAAATGAACCTGAGTTATGTTATCGCATTGAACGGTCCCGTATATGGTTGACGTGAAAGGGCTGGTCCATATACCATCCTAGAACTGGTTTTTGCAGCTACTTATTCAAGTGCAATTAGATCTCCCAATGAGCTTGTCGCAGCCGGATTCCTAAAATTGCTCATGAGGAAAATTTTGAAAAATTAAAAACATTACGAAGTTTGTTTTATGCTTTAGGCGCTCGAAAAATTGTCATGCTGATGTCGGGATTTTTCTGACATTTCATTTCCCCTATGTTTTTAAAATAAGTATAACATTTTTGACAATTCGACGAAGACTTGTAATACATCTTTTTATTTGAACGTAGAATTTTCTACCAATGTTACGAAGCCATATTCCTGCATGAAATTCGTATTCAAAGATGCTGGAGTCCAAGGACTGGACGATAATATTAACAAGTTCTATGACAATGTATAGGACAACATAGCAGTGTGTATACTGCTGTAAAATGATTTTGGCCAGCAAATGCAGTTATTTAGATGACATACTCTGCAGCACCATGACTTCTCGATCTCAGAGCAACTGTATTTAGAAGCCTTACGAGTACCTATATAAATAGCTCAAAAATATTCTTGTTCATTTTACAATAAATTTCTTGAACGAACTTTGTTGCCGCCATTAGATTTGAACTGAAAATTATTAGCGATGTTTGATTAATGGTTGGGTTTGATCTGGTATGGTTTGATTAATGGTTTGGTTTGATCTGGTACCGTTTGATTAATAGTTGGGTTTAATCTGGTACCGTTTGATTAATGGTTAGGTTTAATCTGGTATCGTTTGATTAATGGTTGGGTTTGATCCGGTGCCGTTTGATTAGTGGTTGGGTTTAATCTAGCACGGTTTGATTAGTGGAACAATTTTTTACCCCTGAAAAGTGTCTTGTGTTGGTGAATTGATGGTTGAGTTACTTCACTCTTTTAAATTGGTATCATATTATCTCAAATGACTAGCCTTCAGATGAAGCATTCCGCTTGTCTTCGAGACTTCTAGTGCTGTATATTCAGGACAAAGAAAACAAACGATACTTTTTATTTTGTTTTGTGAAAAGTATCATGTCTCGCTTGAATTAATTCTACCCACATTTTTTTCTAGGGAGCTATTATGGCACAACTATGTGATCAAATTAAGTTGAAATTAAGTTGTTAGTTATTTTATTAGCTATAATTGTGTAGAATAGCTATCGTCCCTGAAAAAAAACGTCCGTGCTATCACTTTGCCCAAGTCAGAAGTCCCAGTCACGCTGAAGCAGAATGAGTTCACTCTGAATTGCTGCTTTTGATGCTGCTGCTCCCTCTCAAAGGACCCCAAGGGAGCTTCAGTAGTTAGCAAGACACCTAAAGTCATCCTTCAAATAAGTTATCGTCCTCGATGTCCGTCCATGTGCCAAGTTTGCCTTTGAGTCTCACATCGCATCACCGTCCGGCTTACTTTGTCCTTAACAGCCTCTTCCAGGTCCAAGAGATATCCGACATCTTTCTTTTAAATGTTCCAGTTCTTAAAAATTCCGCCAGTGGGATTTTTGCATTATTATGCAAATTCGCTAGCTTCCTTATGATGCTAGCTGTGAGATTATCATCTAAGAGACTGATTAGTTCAAGAGACGGACTGCGCGTCGCCTTCCTTCCCGATATACGTGAACATGAAGAACTGCCGAGCCTATGTCAAGTCGGTGGTGCTGGTGTTCCTCAGCGTCACGATCACGACTGATCACGCTCACGCTGGAGTAGCTTCTGAGTTCCCGCGCGACTCGGTTGCCTTAGCGAGTGTAAACTTTTCTAATTTTGTCTTGAGAAGCAATGGGGAAAGAAAACTTATGGGAACCAAAAGTGAAATTGGTAAATTTATATTTGGTTCTTCAGCTTCAGTTTCAGGACAGGTGGTTTTAGGTCAGTGTGGCCCAAGTGCGCAAGGCGTAAAAACTGTGAAAAACTTGCACTCTCTTGTCGATATATTTCCCCTGACATTTTTCGCAAACAATTCTATAATACTTGATGATAGTGAACCTAACTCTCTAGATGTAGCAATATCTGAGTTCAAGGGACAAATTGCATCACCAGCAAGCGTCACCTATGATGAAGTCGAGGCACAGAGCTTGAGGAAGTTGAACTCGAGCATGGCAGCGTCAGCGCTGCTGCAGGCGCCGCGCATCACGGAATGCGGCAGCAAGATTTGGACGCCGCCAGAGGGCGAGCCGTGGGTGGCGCTGGTGCCGGAGTATGGCACGCTGGAACACGTCCGCTCTGCGCTCCAACTTAACGCCTCCGCCGTCCTTATTTACAACGCCACCTTCAGGGAGCCTCGCCTCACTCGTGAGTGGTAGCTTTAGGGGATAAGGGGTAGGTGAGTGGTAGCTTTAGGAGATAGTGGGTAGGTGAGTGGTAGCTTTAGGAAATAGTGGGTAGGTGAGTGGTAGCTTTAGGGGAAAGGGGGTAGGGGAGTGGTTAATAGGTAGTTTTAACTATGAACCCTAGTTTATTCTCCTAACTCTTTTAATTTTTTAATATCGTACTCATGATTTAATTAAATAATAAATCCTTTAAATCTGGAGTGAAGGCAATGAATCGATTTTACTGTAGATAGTCTATTTAGCGAGATTTCTTTTAGATTTTTTTTACGTTTAGAAACACGTTTTTTAGAATTTTATTTATTTCACACCATTAACTCAAACTATGCTGAACTCGTCGCAAGATAACACTAATACATGTGACAAGTAATTATTAATTCGGTTGTTTTAATTTCTAGTGAATTTGGTCCTGAATTTGGTGCTATTGATAAAAAAATTACACGATTTTTTTTTAACTACAATGCTTTTTTGTATTAATTTTACTTCTATGAAAGTTTGTCTCTTAAATGGAAACTCGTGTTTTTTCTTAGGCGAAGTTAAGAGATGAGATGACTGAACGTTTTTTAAAAATACTTTCAACAGTTTTTTTGTAAAACAGCCAGAAAGAAAAATTTACAACCTTGAGCCTGGTTATATAAAAGCTGTTTCAGATTTAGCTGCATCAAAGATTGAAGACTTGAGATGCGCGTAAGAATTGAACGTCGGTAATAAAAAGCGAAGCGAAGCTCTTACCTAATCATTAGATGAGCCGAGTCCTGCTACACTGAGACTGCAATGGGACTTAGTCCAAATAATGAGGCACTTCTTAGTTCTTACCTTTGTGTGTCATCCTGAACCAGTTTGTCCCTGCCAAAGGTCCTGTCAATGGTACGTGCAGGAAGTATATCACTATTTGTTCAATATGACCCATTTATTTTTCTTAATAGAGAGTACAAAAAGGATGCATTTCTAGGTAGTATTGCTGCGAATCTGCCTTACAGAAGAAGTCTGTCTGTGTATCGAGAACACCTCCTATTAACTACACAAGGACAGAACTAGTGACTATCGATCGAGGGGCATTAACAACTTCTTTGTTACTTTGATGCGCTGTTAAATAAATACACTTCCTCTAATTCTCTAACTTCATCTCTGTTATCCTTCGACACAAGCTGATTACTTGGGACTTTTAAAAAATGTTTGTGTCTTAATTACACCCATTTTTTCGAAGAAATTGGCTGCCTGACCTCTTTATAGCTTGTGACTTGACATTCAAATTGCCGTTGTAATATTAACTGAGTTTATGGCAAGCGGCTTCTCTGACAGACTGCAGTAGTGCGTCCCGGAGCAAAAACTTGACTACCTAGCAACTTGTAAAAAGGACTTGGCATTGCAATTGGGCGCGTATAAAAAGATACGTAGACGTAGAGCTTGCAACGACGTGTTTGCGGGCTATGCAAACCGACGACTCAATACATATTCTCAAAGCTGAGAATTCAAGTTTTTGTGCCCTCTCGGTGGATGAGCAAACCAGTTGTACAATCACTGGCCCTCCGGTTTGGTTATTAGTTAATATTGCAGTAAAATGTTTTTCTCTATCTTTTTGTTATTGTTCAGTTGAATGATAATAATTACGATATGTACTAAACGCAGCGTGATAAGCGTGCTCTTCAAGAAAAACGAATGGCGGGATATTAGATCTTTCCATTTGATTATTTTAATTAAAAGAGGTTAAATAAATTTTTTTGTATACGCCTTCAACATAGCGAGAATTGCGACACGCTGATTGCCTTATTTGGGTGCAAAAATTAGACGCTCTAGATGAACAGTCGTTACGTTCATGACAATTTATGCTTTTGTTATACAACTGCAGTTTATTATAGTCTCATTATTCTACATTATATACTGTACGTGAACTACATTATATACTGTACATGAACTACATTATATACTGTACGTGAACTACATTATATACTGTACGTGAACTACATTATAAACTGTACGTGAACTACATTATATACTGTACATGAACTACATTATATACTGTACATGAACTACCGAGAACACGTCATTCTGTGCAGACTATACAAGCGAAATGTATTCCCATCTAGGGCTTTTGGATCTTCAAATGCCAAGTGTGAGAAAATTTGGCGGCTGAAAGAGTCGAAAATTATCCTTGGAATACGCTAAATAAAGAACTCCCTTAAAAACGTACCTATTGTTGAAATAAAGGCGACGATGTTTTAAAGCAGTGCCATTGGAAAATAGTATACGGCGCAACGCTAAATAAAAAAAGCGTATGATAAGCACATTCATCTTGAAAATGTTTCAAATTGATTAGTAATTCTCTGGCAATACATAAACATTGGGTATGGAGGATTGATACCATTTTGCTTATGGATAACAATTAGCGTTCAAGAATGTCAAGGGTAAGGGGTATTAATAGTGCGGTTATTACCAGCGTGTGACGGGGTGTATGGACTCTGCAGCGCGTATAGGACTCTGCTGCTTCATATTCAGCTCGCTGATGTTACTTGTACGCTATCAAGCATCATTTGTTGCTCGCTTTATTTATTTTATGAGTCTTGAAGTGAGAGAGATTTTTTATAAAAACAAGCGTTGATGGGTTCAAATAATATTTTATTTTGAAAACTGTAATTTTGTTCGGGATTTTTTTTCGCTTACGTTTTTTTTCTCGTTAAGCCTGTTGTAAACTGGAGCAATTTATGGATGCGTGGCTTACGGTTCATTGAGTTTCTAAATGAACGTGATACCATTTGGACCGTTTCTTTCCATTTGCAAGAATTTTTTTCTGCAAAGTAGCTAATTTGATATTTAATTAATTAAGCACAGCGTTGAATTCTAAAGGTCGGGGGTTCGTTTTTGTTCTCCTAATTCTTGGCAACTTGTTTTTTTCGAGAGTTTGAAAGTCTTAACAATCTTTTGATCTCATGTCAACGTAGATAATGTAGTGGACGGGGAACTACATGCTCGATTATTGCTATTTTCTCCCATCTAAATATCCAAACGTTTTTGAAGCTTGCATGAACTATAACACGGCTTCACATGAATATAGAATTCATATGGAAGTAACATCAAAATATGTATTTATTTCGAGCAGGAGAATGATTGCATTTTGGATTGACATTCACTACTCCTCCAAAGCATAGTCTAACTCTAATCGCATATTATACTTAGGAATTAAGTGTTTTCTCCCTATGATGTGACGGATTGCCTTTTAATTTCTGCACTCCTTAATTCAGGAGGAATTATTGTAATTTGGATCTATTCCTGGAGGGTTAATTTGAATCTTCCTCCCTAATTGGTTCTGAGGTTGAGCAGTTTTTTCGACGTATCAGGTTAACTCAAAACCCTTATATATGAGTACTTAATAGTTTATTCATTGCGCAATTGATTAAATACCTACTAAAAGAAATCGATACGTATTATATTAATTTTTTATTTAGAATGCAGCTTGCAGGAACGACGTTGCAGATACTAATTTAAAATTAATTTTTAACATCATTTCTTATCGTCAAGTATTCAGGTGGTTGAAGTTTTAATTCACATCTTCATTCTTCATGCGTCAGTTGACCTTCATACGCATCTTGAAATTCTATATCAGGCAGAGTGAACCGCATGATCTGCAGACGAATTAGTTGCTGTGACATGGCAGTGTCACAGAGCATGCAGCGTAGATAGTAATTGTTGCTGCCGGTAGAAATTGGTTTCTTCAGTCCCGTGTTGCATAAAAATCTGTGAACTATTTAGTAGGTAGAGCATCACATTGAGACTGCAGTGTCAGCACGTCATACAGGGTAGATGCTGATGATGCTGTTGGTAGACAGTGTTTCTCCAGTTGCCTTAGCTAAAAACATACAAGTGAGTTAACGCATCGCTATGCATAGCATGACGCATGGGTTACAGAGTATGCACGTCATGCAGTGTACTATATCTTTTGATGATGCTGCTGGTAGACAGTGTTTCGTCAAGTGTCTTAGCTAAAACATACAAGTGACATACGCATCGCTATGTATAGCATGACGCATGGGTTACAGAGTATGCACGTCAAGCAGTGTATATGTTGCTGCGTGTTCATATATAACTTCATAATCTCTTTGTGCATCACGTGTGCCTGACAAGGTCATGTCTCGTCTACAAGCTCCTCAAGGAGCCTCACCGGCCACCGTGCAGTGCATGCAAGCGTCGGCTGTCTTGGCTGCTGCTGCGCGTCCGCACTTCCGGCATCCTCTGGTCCATTTCCGGTCCGTTATCCTCATGAGAAAGAGTTTGTCTTCAGTGTGAGCAGGTCTGTTTCTCGTGACTGTGCTAAACGTAGGATTCAGACTGAATAATTAATTCAGTTACTCAATCCAAAACGTTATTTTTTATGCTTAGAAGCGTCACAATATATTTTAGTGCAGTTCAAACATTTCAATGTGCCCAAACTACGATATATTGTATCTCAAAAAATATTGTAGTGTATTTAAAATATTTTAACGTACAGAAACTTTATTTTTTTTTTGATAAATCAATATTTACGACATGTTAATATGCGGAAGTTCTGGAGTGAGCTACTATTGGTAATGGAAGGTTACTTAAAGCGTGGGCTTACCCCTTCTCCGCCTTCCACAAACAAGGCAGTTGTGAAGGTGGTTCCGGGGCTGCCTTTCCTCCAGTTTTGTCTCATGAAAGGGTAACGGTGAATGGTACAGTTAAGTTTCACTGTTATGCTAATGCAGTTCTCCTAAAACTCAGGGATCGTACAATATAGGTTGTTTCCTGCTCGAATTAAATAGTTCTGGTTCAAGGTGCTAAGCCATGAAATATGTTTTGAACTCCTGCAATCAGAATATCAAGAGATTATCGATTCATAAAAATACAGTGCAGAGTTTCAAAACTAAATCGGATGTCATCTGATGATATACAATGATAATATCATCATTTTTTGATCATCCTGACGGTCCTGTTACAAATAATTTTATGATG